TCCTTCCCCTCTCATCTGCAAAACAACCACCAGCAGCAGCAGCAGCAAAAGCGAGACTCCTGCGCCGCCGACTACAAGAGGGTTAAAAGTGTAGATTGGATTTCACCCCGGGAAATCTAGCACACGGAGTGAACTTGAATCTTTGGCTATTTAAGGAGGACTGGGGTTTGTTGTGAAGTTGTGGTGATCCAGGGCAGAGCCCCGTCCTGATTGATTTCATCTTCCTTGAGTCTCAGATGACTGTAAAATGAATAGATGAAATTATTCCTTTTTGAAGCTTTTCTTAGGGGCTCTCCGGGCAGCGTGTTCTCAAAGCGAAGTCATGATGTATTCTCCAATCTGTCTCACTCAGGTATAGACGCGTTTTATTTAATTTATCTGTTTATTTATTTATTTTTCACGTGTTTCTTTTTTTTTTAATTATTTTTATATGTATGCGAGTTGTTAATGAGTCATTGCTGGTAGTTGTAACGGGTTAAAGCACAGTTGTAACTGCTTGTCAGGTCCAAACTCCTCTCGCAGGAGGGAATAGTAGAGAATAAACTGTACCAGGCCATTGTTTTGGGGGAGATCCATTCAAAGTGTCACTCGTAGACACATACTGTTAATTGCTGGTACAGAAGAAGTCAAAGGATAACAAAATTGAAATGACCATAATTACGCTAAGAAGCAGGTTTGAGAAGTATTGATTTGATTGGAATCAAACGATTTGCTCCCTTTTCAGCTCGCCACTTTACGCAGAGCCTAATGAAAGGGTTTGAAAGGAAAAGTGCAGTTTTTGACAAAAAAAGAAACGGGCGCCCGCCGGTGCAAAGTGATCCCGTCTTATGCTTAATTAATAATATGTAGCCTGCCCACGACGAGGGCGATGTGAGCCGGGATGACCGAGCTGTGCAGTATTTTCTTGTTCGGTTGCGCAGGGGCACGGCAATTTCCCCCCTCCCAAGCTAAATTGCCGCGCTCGCGGGGGAGGCTGCACCCTTCCGAGGACGGAGGGAAAGGGAAAAAAAAAAAAAAAAGATTTTCCCGGTTTTTATAACTGCGCTTGCAGCCGCTTTTCAAGCCGGGACGGCGGCTGTCAGCGGGACGGGCGGGAGGGAGCGGGGGGCCGCGGAGCGGGGCGCGGAGGGCAGCGGAGCGCAGCGCGGGGGGCAGCCCGGGCTGGGGTCCCCGCCGCGGAAAAAAAAAATGCAGTTTTTTTTAAGACCTGAGGGGTTTAGGGGGAGCCGGCTTGGGAAGTTGCCTGGGTGCCCCCGGGAGCGTCGTCGCCGGGCGTAGGGAAATGGGGAGCCGGGGCACCGGAGCCTGTTCCGTGAGGGTAAACCCGGTGTGTAAAGCCAGGGGGATACTTTTCAGAAGCTTTTGTGAAAGTCTGTCTTAGGAGGATGTGATGTAAACTGATTAAGCGATAACTGCTTGCTTCCACATTGGCGCAACAAATAGCTAAAGAAGCAGAAAATGTGCGAAAGTACCGTCTCCTGCGACGGCGGTGCGAAGCGGCCGGCGATGCGCTCGCAGTCGCACGGTGAATAAATAAATAAATACGATTTAAGTTATTCCACAATTAGAAAGCATTGTGATTCAAAAGGACTAGAAGTATTCATACATTGTGAATGAAGATGGAAACAATGATAAGGCTTATTCAGTGATTGGATACAGTCCTGTAGCTTTTTGGCTGACACATTTTTTATTGTTTATATTTTGTTTGGCATCTAAGTGTGATTGACTTAGATATGGATATTTTCAGCAAGTAAACGTGAGCTGCAGTGGAGCAAAGCTGGAAAAGGGTACTGTTGAGGTACTTCTTCTTCAAAAGAGAAATGAATGCATGTAGGAAGGGTTTTGTGTACCAGATACGCACATGCTTACAGGTACAGGCATAGAAATCATTACTTATGGTGCAATCTGCAGTTAGTAAAAAATAATTCTGTGTGGGCTGTCCATCCTGTGAAATTATTGACAGGCAATAAGACCTCTGCACCAGAGTATGAACCTGACAGTACAACTTAAGAACTGGTTTTTACATTGGAAACACGCAAATTTTTACCACCACCTCTGTACGGCGGGTAGTTAGTTTTGTTGTTTCCCGCTCTAATGACATTTTTTTCCATATGTTTGCTTTTTAGACTCACAGATGTAATGAATTTCCTCATTCTTTACAAATCTGTATTAAAATACTGCACTCAGGTGTATACAAACCCCCAACTGCTACAGCCATAAATACAAGAAAGCAATTTCTGGTTTTCGTGCGTTGATAACTTCTCCATAATATTTTACAATCATGCCTTACCATGTGCCATGCAGAGACATTTCCCATTTAGTGCTACTTATACATTAACTCAGTTGCAGCAAATTGATTTTAATTGGGAATCTTTCTCTACCTATTTGGAATGATAAAGGCGTTTTGAAAATAATCTTCCCGTAAACTACAAATTAAGATTACACTGGCAATGAGAACTTATACTTTGTGTTATTTATTTATTTGAAGCAAAAGATTGGTTAATTTTTTTTTTTTTTTTTTTTTTTTTTTTTTTTGAGTTGGGACTGAGTTAAAGTAATACTGCCAAAACTGTTCTCTCTATTGTGTTCTCCGTCTCTAGGGCTCTTACGATGCACATTGACTGTGGTAGTGAATGCTCAGAAGAAAATATTTTGGTAAAAGTTCTAAACACAGAACACCTGTTTGGATTGAGCTCCTTGCAAAAACAGTGGTTCAGTTTGTGCTGTGACAGGGCTGAAGCTTCTTTTAGAAACAAGCCTAAAATCCAAAGTACAGCTTTAAGACAAACCTTGGCAATTTCAATGTTACCCATCCGTCTTTCAGTAAAAGTTCGGTGGGTGTAAAATAACTCCAAGGAAGAGTAAAGACTTACCAAATGTGATTTAATTTTGGGGGGGTCCTTTCCTCTCCTTCCCACATGCCTCTTTCCCCCTGTTTTGGAATGAGTGTAACCTGCATTTGTCTCTCTTGCGGAGGCATGATAGGATGCAGTTACTACATGCCTTTAAATGCTTGGTCTCTTGTCATATTTTTGCTGTGGTTTATTTTTATGTTATGGTGCTCCAGGAAACTAAGAATATGCTGTCATTTTCTTTTCCTCCAAGAATATGTTGTTTCATTCGGCACAGAGAAAATCCATGCTGGGAAACAGAGTACACAGAGTTTTCGGTATAAAAATTTCTAGGCTTGTGTCTGGTATATTTATTGTATGGTGCTCTGTTCAAACTTGCTTGAATTGATACAAAGTCTATAAAACTGAAAGATAGGAGTAAGGGCCCTGCATTTCCTCTTTACCTTTTCCGAAAAGAAAACCTGGCCTGTCTATCATCACTGGATGACTGGTATTTTTTGCTTTATTTACAAGCTAGCTAGATACTATATAGTCCATATATAGTGGATATATATCCATACTATATAGTATCTAGCTATATAGTAACTTCCATTTTAATTTAAACTGCCAGTGCACAATGGTTCACCTGAGCCATTTGATATGACATTTAAAAATCTTACCTCCATAAATCACTTTATTGCAAGAGCAACTGTGGCACATGGTTAAGTGTCACATAAAAAGAATATTTCACTATTGCCTGTATGAATATTAAGGGATAAAAAAAATCAAATTCTGTATATGGCTTTTTAGGAGGTTTAGTGGAGAACCTGTGTGATTAATTGCAAATCTCCATTTAGGATCATTTTTATGGGCACTTCTTGTCAAGTAATGTTTCATTTGAAAGGACTCCAGCTGCACAATGAATTTCTCATAGATATTTGATAATATTGCTTAAGAACAGGATGTTCTTTGCTCTGTTTCTCCTTCACACTCTTTCACATATATTTATATCTTTATGTTTTAATGATATTATGAAAGAAAAGTCTGAATAAAGTTCTTAAAAGAGTTGGGTTTGGTTTGGGTTTTTTTTTTCAGTCTTTGAAAAGGAAACATTCAGCCACTACAAATTGGAATTTAAAATGTGGAATTTTTATCTCTAAAATTTTCATAGATGTAAAATGCTATAGGTAATTATTGGCAATACTATGTGCATTACCTAAAGGCATAGCCTTTTCAGTTTGTAATGTTCTTCTTAAAAATGAAAACTAGATGTACAGTATACTAGTAGTGTAGAATATCTCCACATTAATTTTATTGCCATTTTAAGTTATACATGCTGAAGTCTCTTTAGATGGAGGGGAAATCGTTGTATTGGGGAAAAAATTCATTTCTCCCAAAGCTCTTCAGCCTCCCGCCTTTGCCTCACCTTTAGCCTCAGCTGTTAGAATTTTCAAAATCTGTAGTAAATCTGTTTTATTCAGTCTAAAGTGAATTAACACCGCACAGTCTTTATGCTTATGTTAACATTTTTTTTTTTTAATTTTATTTGAATACTTTGGTTGAGATGACTTTCATAGAAGAAAAAAATAAACTTTCTTTAGTAGTTATAATTGAGGAGAAAAAAAGCATGGCATCAGAAAGCGTATGAAGATAGGGAAGTCTTATCATGGGCTGTGGTTACTCAGAGCAGTATTGCCTTCCCACACAAAGAACAGATTGTGGTTTAACTCTTTCCATGGCCTAGTTTTATGTGCCAGTATAGTATCAGAATTGTTCAAATCTCTGCTGGAAACTACTAATCAGTTTAATTATTGCCTTTGTGGCTCTTTGTCAAGCATCATACCGTAATGTGATAGTTTATGTCCTGAATTGTCTTTCTATATTGTCTCTCTTCTCCTTTTTTCTTTTCTTTTTTTTTTTTTTTTTTTTTTTTCTTTCTGTGAAGGTAATAGTCGTAGGTAAACTGCTTGCAACTTTTCTATTGTTTTCTGTTTGATTTGAGGATGGTTAGGGTAGAGAAGTAACTAGATCTAGTGGTGGTTTTTTTTACCATTCAGGAAATTTCTAAGTTTGTTTGAAATTTGAAGATTTAAATACTAAATTCTTGGCCTGAAGCTTCTACAGTGGCAGTCTGAACTCTGTATAATTGAGACCATTAGTTATACTTTCATCATTTTTACCTAATGGAGTTAATCAGCCTATTGATTAAACATAATTCATTCCTTGTCTAGCAGCGTAGCTAAAATATTAGTTTGTAAATTGTATTCTTGAACATAATTGTACAAAAACGGTTCGGTTTTAGTTTGATTGCACCATGCCACTCAGTATGATGAGCAATCTGCATGGTATTTAAAACTAAATATGCCTGCACACAGGAAGAAAGATACCTTCCCTAAGGTCTCCCTTCCAAACCAAAATGCAGTAATGTTTGATAACCAGATCACACTGTTTTAAACAGCGGATTTGCTCACGGAAAAGAGGCATTAGTTTTGGGAAAGGCCAATTTAGATATTAACATGGATGTGTAGGATGGTACTTTACGCAGACAAAACGAATTAATTTAATTGCTATAGGATGTGCTTGTAGACGACAACTAAGCATTACCTCCTTAATGCAATCCATTTTGCTGCTAGGCAGAAGATAAGAACTTGCAGGTGAAGCCAGATGACAGAGAGGGATATTTTGGAACTGTAAATAAATTGCATGGATTTCACAAAAGCAGCATTTGACCAGCGGTGCACTCGTAATGTCACTCTGCCACAGCATGCAGAAACACAAAGAATGCAAAGTTTGTGCCAAGTTGCCATTTTTCATTGTACACCTCAGATTGATTTTTAAGGGGTTTAGAATAATTGCCACACTCATGTGATCAGTTAACAAATTAACTGACTCTGTGGGGCTTCAAAACCCACAGTGGAGCTGCCGGAAGAACATAAATGTAATTTTTGTTCTCAACTTCATAAACTTTTATTTTACAGGGTTTGGGGGTGGTGGGAGGGAAGCCCGAAGAGCTGAAAGTACAGGAGCTTCTGTTCGGGATTTGTATACGACACGCTGTGTCTTTTGCCCGCTTCCCCTTACTGTATACTGGTTTCTCTAGTTACCACCACTGGAATGGTGCTGTTTCAGTGCTGGAATGTTGGACGTTTGATAAGAAAATGGATCAAGTTTAATGGCGCATGCTCTTTGTGCCACCAGCAGTCTCTTGCTGAGAGCATGCTCCAAAAGCGGGAACTGTGTGGCATTACACTGAGCATGTATATGCTTTGTGTTTCTGTGCCACAGAGAAGAGAAATGAACTGTGGCATTCGCCTCAGCCTTCCGAACCTTTCTGCTCAGATTTTTTAAAACCGTATAGTGTCCTCTTTGTGCAATGGTACTTTTCTTGATGCTTAGCTGTTCACTCAGATATTTAAATGTTAGAAACAAAACCATCTCGATAGCATCTCTTTTAAATGGTGTTGTCTCTGCAGTGTTGCGGGATGAAGTGAGGGGAGGCATACAAAATAAAATCTTCACATGGTCCTTTCAAAGGGTGAAATACGGGGAAAATGCAATTCTCTGTGCACATTTTGTCTGCTACCCGATAGCAGCGCTAATTGCATAAAAGATATTATGCAGAATTTGGCGTAAATTTTAAGGGTTTATTCTCTTCGTCTTGGATTTCACTTTAAGATTTTCAGAAACCTTTCTTGGTACTGCTTTGATTATGAGAACTTACTGACTTTGAGTTTTCTTCTTCTCTTTTTCTCGTTTTCTTTTTTTTTTTCTTTTTCTTTTTTTTTTTTTTTCCCTCCACTTCTTTCCACAGGATGAATTTCACCCGTTCATTGAGGCACTTCTTCCACATGTCCGTGCAATTGCCTATACTTGGTTCAACCTTCAGGCTCGAAAACGCAAGTACTTTAAAAAGCATGAGAAACGAATGTCGAAGGATGAGGAAAGAGCAGTCAAGGATGAGCTACTTAGCGAAAAGCCTGAAATTAAACAGAAGTGGGCATCCAGGCTCCTGGCCAAGCTGCGCAAAGATATTCGCCAAGAGTTCCGGGAGGATTTTGTGCTCACGGTGACTGGGAAGAAGCACCCATGCTGTGTATTGTCCAATCCTGACCAGAAGGGTAAGATTAGGAGAATCGACTGCCTGCGACAGGCTGACAAGGTCTGGCGTCTGGATCTAGTCATGGTGATCCTGTTCAAAGGCATCCCCTTGGAAAGTACGGATGGAGAGCGGCTCATGAAATCCCCACATTGCACAAATCCAGCACTTTGTGTCCAGCCACATCACATAACAGTATCAGTCAAGGAGCTTGATTTGTTTTTGGCATACTACGTGCAGGAGCAAGGTAGGAAGCAGATTGTTGTGTTTCTGTGTTAGTATGTCAAACTCTGATTCCAAGTAGCCCCGTTTCCCCTATGGGCTGGCTTCCAGTGAAACATTATTCTGTGGTCTATAGACGTAATGTGGGTACATATCCATATGTAAATCAGCATGTGTATATATATACTTACACGCACACATTCCCGCAGACCTGTGTAAATGACATGTATGTTTGACATACCTGCCTGGTTCTCTTTCAAGAGAGAGCGGGACGTACCAACGTCGTACTTTAGTTCTGCTGAAGTTGCCTTTTTTTTTTTTTTTCCTTTTCTGTCAAAAAGGGGCAAATATATTGTATAGTTTTTCCAGTTGTGAGTTCAGAAAACATTCTTTTTGTTTTTCAAATTTTGGTTTTTTTTTTTGTTTTTAGAACCCCCAGTACTGCTAGTAACAGATGCAGGTATGTGCAATTGCACAATCGCAATAAATGCTACAAATATTAATTATTGTCTTTGTAGTTACAAATAATCAAGAATTCATCCTTAAACTGATGAACCTACTATCACTTTGAAGAGCAATTGTAGACTTTCTCACATCGATAAAATAAAACATGAAAAAACTTTAGCACAGACATACTGCTTTGTAAATACCAGATATAGTCAGAATTACAGCATACAGTATTTAACGTTTTATTTGTATTTTAAATCATGAGCTCATCTTACCTATCTGAGCTTTAAAACAAAGATCCAGGTTGTAATATTTTGAGAAAATTTTCCATTAAAAATGTATTTTCATAATTACAGTCCTAAACTTAATTTTATTTGGCAGATAATTGAAGTGTAGAAAATTGCAGGAACACCATGAAAAAGCATCTTTGACTTAGTTTTACAGAAGGAAAATAAAACCAGGGCTTCTGATAATCATGTATCAGGGAAAAAAATGCTAGTCATATTGCATATTCAGATAACAATGCTCATAGGCAGGTTCCCTGAAACTGTAAGTGGCTGTAAGCAGATAAAGGTTTTTTTCTCTGATACTAAGCCTTCTGAAATGCTTTTTCTCTGCGAGGGGTCATTTTTGTTCTTTCTAGTGATTATACCATCCTCTAGACGTCTTTGTATTGCTGGCTGATCAGCAGTAATAAAGCATTTATTTTTTAGCTGCAGATCTCAACTAGGGAAAGTTTGACCAGCCGCAGATGGCGGGCCATTTCACAACTTGGCCTGGTAGTAGGCAGAAATGGCCTGCAGAAGGGCAGATGGCAGGCTGCTGTTATCTGATGCCCGGTACATAACTCTGGGATTTAACTGAAAAGCAAACGGAATGGATTTTGTTAGTAACAAAAAAAAAAAAAATAAAATTGCACATGTCTTCATTTGGCATGTACTCATTCTTTCAAAGAACAGACCATAACACAACCTTTTTGTTTTCAGTGAATTTGTCTTCTGGCATTTACTCATGCAGGTGGAGCACTATGTTTATGTGAACGTATAAATAGGGTTCAATTTTTTTGATTATTTGTCATGAAAAAGTACATTTCATTGTTTTGCTTCGGTTGTTTTTTTCCCCCTACATGTATTTTTCTGTATTTTTCTCTCCACAGCAGTAGAAAACACTTGGGTGTTTTGCAGCGACTTTAAGTCGCTGCAGAGTCCAGTAAATCTGATCCCCCATAACATGGGAAGAAAGATTTCTTCGATAGCATTAAACAAAATAGCTTAATTACAAATAATTTGTACCTTTAAACTCCCTTTGTGAAGAAAAATTTAAATGCTATTTTGAATGCATATATTGCAAGACATCGCTTACTGATTAATTCTAATGGATTTACCTGTCTCTAAAAGTCAGAACTACAAACGGAGCCAAAGCAGTTTAAGTAGCTCTTGAGCCGAAGAAGCTGGGGTCAGAGCACTCTTACGTACTGTCGACTTTTAAGTCGTTGGAAGCCAGTAACTTGAAGTGGGAGAAGGAACTGCCGGGCATAGCTGATTTTATTGATTTAAATGGTTTGAGAATACGGGTTTATTTGAAACACTTGTCTAATCAGAAATGAGTAAGATAAGCATGCTGTAATATTATAACTTTCAAAGCTAAACGTCGCTGCTTTGCGAATATACTGGAAGATGAAGCTGGCGAATTTCTGTGTACCAAGTCACCCTTAGTAGACCCTTTTGTTTGCTGTAAACTGCGTGTATTTTGTATCTGTCTTGCTGCTTCACAGTAAACCTTCCGTTAACATCTGTTGGCTCTCTTCTTGAAGAAGCCATATTAAGATATCTTTGCATTTTTTTTTTTTTCCCATTTTGTCAAACTTTGATTCTCTACCTCATTGAATGAAGGTTAATTGTGGCACTTTGTAGTGCTCTCAATCAAGAGCACCAGGCTTTGCAAAAGATAAACCAAAGAAGTCAACCAAAATGCTGCACGATACACATGCTGTTTTGCTTTTTATTTCTCTTTTTAAATAAATGAACCCACCTAATAGTATCATATGAAAACTAAGCGGAGAGACATAGGAACAATTAAATCCCTGAACAAAATATCAAGAAGGAATTAGCACATAAAATGAATAAAGGGGCCAAGTAGTTTGGGTTTTTGTTGCTTTAAAAAAGATTAGGGGAAAAAAGAGGAGGAAGGATAGTTCGAGTGCCAGTGATGGTTGCCAGTGGCACCAGGATTGGCATCAGACCTTCTTTGTTTAGCCTAGGATGCCTGTGATTTGTTGGTTGGCATCCGCATTGCAGTGCAGAGTAATGTTACAATATATTGACAATTTCCAGATCTAGAAGTGTCAATAATCCTTTCAGTTCTTAATAAAAAAAGAGCTTCTACTTCCATGCCTGCCTTGGAAGAAGAAATAAGGACTGAACTGTGAAGTTGTCATTGACCAACTTCATCTCTTTCTACTTTTCGCTCATCTCCCTCAGAATTCAGCATCTTTCTCTCTTTCCCCCTCCCCCCCCCAGCATTATCCTTCTACTGTCCTCTTATGCTTTAGGAACTTAAAAAAAAAAAACAAAATAAAACAAAAAGCCAGGGCTTGACATAGGTTATAATGCTGCTTCTTTGACTGAAATGGAGGAAGAAAATGGGAAGTGCACACTGTGATCAATGTTTAACACCAAAATTATTCTTAATCGTAACACGCTTCTGCAGGGCTCTGTGTGTATCAGGTCCTGTCCCCCTCCCTCTGACGTTTTTAAAAAGCCCAAACCTTAAAAATGGTATGAAAGTTGTTTTTGGTGTCAAAACTGGTTTGGTGGTTTGTTTTTTTTTTTTTTAAATTTTTTAAATTTTTTCTGTCAGGCATAAGAGAGTGTCTGTCATTTGGTATGAAACGCATCTCAGCCCATAAAATCATTTGATGGTATTTGATTCAGTGCAGCGCTTATGCTGTGTTCCCGTTGCTACAAGAACCGCCATTTTGTTTGTCGAGTGCCAGGAGAGGGGAAAAAAAAAAGGCAGACAATGTGCTTGATGCCAATAATGGTTGCCAGTGGCACCGAGGTTGGCATCAGACCCTCTTTGTCTAGTTGCTGAATGCCTTTGATTCGTTGGTTGGCATCCGCATTGCAGTGGGCACATTGGAAAGTTTTTGACAATCAGTGAATGAAAGCTGCAGTACTTGTTTGCTGCAACACAGCCCAGATAATATAAATCCCTTCTTCTGATAGATGTTTTACTTATTCTTACAATAGCTAATTAAAAAAAAAATAATTAAAAACTGCATTGCTGTTTTTTCTAAAACATGAAATATCTACAGTAATGTGCCTCATCTGCGGAATTCCTAATCCCCGCGTCATCTCTACTGTTTTTTTTTTTTTGCAGCATAAATAAAACGCAAACTTGATGTTAGGTATTTCAGCACTTACTGAATAAAGCATAGTAGACCTTAAGAAATGCTTTGGGAGTTTAAAGGACTGAGGCAATGGTACATGTAAATTGTAAACATTTGTAAGTGGTTTTAATGCATGTGCCTCTCAGAGTACATTTCTCAGATCAGACATGTTACTGTTTACACTCTCCTTTGTCCTTGTGTAAGAGTGATATAATTGGGGGAGCCCACATCCCCAGCTGTTAATAAACTCAGAAGTTGAGGGAGGGGAGGTTCTTTCAAACTATCCAAGAAGGAGGGCAGAAAATAGATGCGGATGTCCTTAGTCTGATACTGTTCAGACACACTTTTTTTTTTTTTTTTAGTAACGGCCCCTCGGGTAAAAAAAATTTACAAATGATTTTTGAAAACAAACAAAACTATATTTTCCTTTTTTTTTTTTTTTTTTTAAACTTCTTAAACCACTAAGATGCTGCTGCATTTCCAGCTGCATGACTTTGTTACCAGGAAATCAGCAAAAAGACTAAATAATTTCTCTTGGAAGTTTCCTAGATAGTTAGCATTAATATTGCTTTCCGGTTAACTGCTATTATCTCGTTAATTAATAAGAAGGATTAGCAGCTCTGCCCAAAGGGCTGCACAGAAGGAAGCCTGGCCTACGTGAGTCCCTGAACCGCCAGACTGTGTCCTGTCCCTCGGCGGGGAAGGGAAAGGAAGGGGAGGGGGGGGACAGGGGAAAAAAAAAGGCAGAGAGAGGAGCAGAGGGGGCGAGGGGGGCACAGGCTGGGCCCTGCCGCCGGGGCAGGGAGAAGGTTGTGAGCAGGACCCTCTCTCTGGGTTGCCAGTGCCGGAGGGGGATGCCTGTGGGCCTGCGGGGATGGCTCCCCACCTGCCGCCATCCCCCTTGGGTTGTCGGTCTTCGGCGTGGGCCGAGCGCCTTTTCGGCTCTCTGCAGCTGGGGCCCCACATCTGCAGGGATGCGGGACGGGTTTAGCCCACCCGGCCGCCCGCCCTCTACGCCGGCAGACTGGTAGTCCTTGCCCCAAGGTGGGGGGATATCACATTGTCACTGACGGCAGCCCCAAAGGCAACCTGTGCGCGCCCGCTCACCTCCAGAAACGCGTCTCCCTCCCAGGAGGGACGCCTTGCAGGAGTTGCAGGCGTGGGTGGGTGAACCCCCTGGGTATCTA